CTCATCACTCGTCCTCCTTCTTATTATCACCGATAATCGGGGTCAATCGGGGACACTCGTCATTGGGTGTCCTCGTCATAATTATTAAGTTGGGGCTCCTTAAGGGATCCTCTTCTTCTTTCCTCTTCTTTTTCCGGTTTACGTGGGCCGTAACGTAGGGATGGTGGGTTTCTGCTGTTCTCGCTGGCGCGCATGGCGATGTGGGGAACGGCGGGTGCCGGGGGGAGGGGGGGGGTCCTTCTTCTCTCCAGCGGTGCTGCTTTTTGCTGGCGCGAGTGTAGAGTGGCGGGAAACGCGGGAAAACGGGAAGGATTATCGTGGGAGTGGGAGCCAACGGTGACAGGTTTTAAAACCTCGTCGCGGTTGCCTCATTATTTCTAACTAGAACTGAACAAATAATTATTAGGGTGCAGGGGCGGAGTTTTTAAAAGTGCCTCGTTACACAATGTTATGAAGATTGTTCCCCTCTTTTATCGGTTGAACAACATATGACTGCCAAATGCACATTGGCATAATGGCACAAAAAATGCTGGCTAATCATCCATCGTATAATGAGTTATCCATATGCGTCAGTGAAACTTGTAATTCTATCGAACATCAGTCTGTGGCGATTTTTTGTGGATGCGCAACAAGTACCGACCGAGAGTTTGCAAAATATGATTAAAGTAGTAATTCCCCATATTCAGGGTAAAAGCTGTACAAAATGTGGGGGAAATGTTCGGATAGAGAAGCAAGAAATGGGTATATTTCGGGAAATCCATTAATGTTCAACGCATGCATTAGAAAAAACTGTTTACATAATCATGAGTGGACATAACTGAATGCTTAAATATTAAGAACAATTTTTTTTTAAACCCACCACGTTGACGCTTTAAATGATTTTACAAAAAAAAAGTGAAACCAGAGAAAGACTCAAGTGTCATGATTTAGAACAGAAAAAATCTTGCCTGAACTCTATAAGAATGGACGATTAAAAGCTATCGCCAAGTATTTTTCTTTTTAAAAGTCTCTATTTCCATAATGAATGATTTTTTTATGGTGAATACTTTTTTACATGATTTGGTAATTCTTGATTTGATTACGTACGGAAACACGGTAATAGTTCTGAAGACAATTCCAAAGTTCGTCAATAATCCATTGGAGAATCAACCGTCGAGATTGAATCTGCTTGGCGTCATTCAGTCGAAAGGGTCCAGTGGTCATCTCCGTTCAGCTCACGGTGTCTACAGGACTGGTGATCAGTGGGTAGAGTATGATAATCAGTGTTCACGAGAAGGCACACACAAAAATTCAAATTACAGAATTAACCCTTAACTGTTATTTTATGCGAAAACTGAATGAGATACAATTGAAAAAATCGTTCTGAATAGTTCTACGGGTCAGTTTGGTTATTGTTCTTCCTTTAAAAAAATTATTCAGCTGAGAGGAAAAGGTGAATAAAATTTCCTCTCATAAGGAATGTTATATTACTATTTTTCTATGAATTGAATGCATTCATCATATTACATTTGTTTGCCATATGTTATATTGGACTGTCAAATTGAGGATTGGTCTATTTATAGTGATGCCTTATTAGTTGCTTTAGTAGCGTTCATGTCACACGGTAATACTGGAGAATTGTAACTTGTGGAGGGAATATTGAATTTCATTGAAGCAACAGAACAATTTTGTTGTTTTTTCCATTGAAGATATACATATAGAATATTTAGTACCTCATTAAACAATAACGTTAGATCGTCGAAAACCCTTTGCACACTTCTCAAAAATGAAAATGATAAAATCATTAATTTTATGTCAGAGGTGCCTATAATCACGCGATTCTAACCTCGCTTCGCTCGGTAAAATCGTGATTTACGGGCCCAATGACATCAAATAGTGTACGAAGGACGTGCGTTCTGGATTTTTGGGCTCCTGGGATTGTAAAACTCGCCTTCGACTCGTGTTACAACCCTCCCACGAGCCAATAAATCCATTACGCACTTGTTGCATAATATACAATTTTATTTCGATTCAGCAGTAAAATAAAAGGATCTGATAGTTGCAGCAACTACTATTCAGAGTGTGGAAACTCTGTTATTCAGGGAAGATCTTCGAAGGACCCCCTGGAGCTGGTCAACTCCTCAAAATTATCTTTAAAAATTAATCGAAAAATTCAAATTAATCGATTGATTCATGACCTTTTATTAATTGAACTAGCCTCAATCGTATCGATGTGCAAACTCTGAAAGTCTCTGAAGGTGGAGTTTGCACAATCCTCAGAATTAATTTGTAGAATTAATAAAAAAATACAGTTTATCGATCGATTGATGAACCGCCCTCTATTAATGAGACTAGCGTCCGTCACAAGAGGGTACAACCTCTGGAATCCAGTGAAGGTCTTCAGAAGGACCCTCTGCAGTTGGGATACCCCTTAAAATGAATGTGAAAATCGACTCAAAATAGTCTAATTAATAGTTCAGTGAATGACCTTTCATCAAGTAAAGTAGCCTCATTTACAAGGGTGCGCAGACTCTGGAATTCAGTGTAGATCTTCCATAATGACTTACTGAAGTTTGCACACCTCTGAAGAGTATTCTACACCCATATATAGCCTGTAACGGGATTTCGCGAATCCCAGACATTAAACCAATTTTGGGATATTTTGGCTTTCTTTATCTGCCATCTCGACCCTCCCCGGGAATTTCTCGAATCGTAGAAGGGTGTAAGGACTGGGGCCCGAGTGCTTACGATGTTAGGAGGCCTGGAGACAGGCAACAGCACAGGGCGAACACGTAGAAAAATTTCCAGCCCCTCTATGAGACTTCCTGGCACATATCATAGAAGTCATACTGGCGTATGAGCGCTTCATGTTAGATGGGGTAGGCATTCGAACGCCTGATTTTTCGACGCGGTTGTTCGAAGGGGTCAGTGGCGATGTTCGAATTCGGCGCGTTTCAGGAGAAGCTAGCGGGGATATCCTCCCTGAGGCGAGGGCGGCACGTCCCGGCACGCGGCAGCTCATCCAGCGGTAGTCGGGGGGGGGGGGGGGGGGGGGGGGGGGCATCGGCAATACTGCCCAGACTGCCCATCACTCGGTACAGCCGCTTCGGCTGGCTCCCGGTGCGGACAACTGGCAGCTCTCTCTCTGGAGCCCTCGATCGGCCCCCAATGCCCGGCATTGATCTTCATGCTCCCTAAGTGAGGGCTACGCTCTCCCTGGTGATGATCTCCGGGTGGGAGCAATACTCCCCTCGCGCGACCTTTGCTGGGTGAGGGTTTTTACTCGGCCTGGATATGCTCTCTAATTTTGGGGCTACCCTAGTGGGCCCGTCACGCTACCTAAAGTGTGCAATCGGGTGAGGTAGCCCCTACGCTCTCGGCCTACCGGCACTCCGCTATCTTACGTCGCGGTCTCGGCGAGGTATTCCTAGAAGTCGCCTTCCATGCCTTGGATTCCCGCAAGTATGCTCTCGGTATCCCGGACCGCCGTCTGTTCGCTTTATTTTATGGTTTCGGTTATTAGACTCGCGTATCTGTGGACCCCGGCCCTCTCTCCAAGATATCCTGAGCGACCCCAAGCCTTCCCGCTTCCGTTCCCTTCGTCATCAGTTTTAGCCTCTCGCGCGTAGTTTTGCGGTCACACCCCGGTTGGTGTAATCTATGGATTTAGGATTTTGTGTTGTCGCGAGTACGAGTGTCAACCCCAGTCGCCCTGTCCCTTCGTGCTCTTGCTTTCAGATATTTTGAGATTTCCAGTTTGATGAGGTCGGCTGAGTCGGCCCATAAAAAGTTAGCTGGCGCCCGCATTAATTCGGTTTAATCGTACGGATGCGAATATGGGGACGGGCGAAGGTAATAGCTATCCTCGACACCGGGACGAGGTCGGGGAAAAGTGTTACAAGCCAAAATTACGGCTTTTTCATTTTTCTGAAAAACTTACCAACAAATTTCATCTAAAAGAAGGATTTCAATAATATGAATAATAAGAATTTCCAACTAGCTCTCATTCCTCCTGCAATGGCACAGTAAGAATTAAACAATCTTATTCAGTTTCCTGATCGTTTTCAGGAAAGCCAGCAGAGGCTCGCTTTTTATTTAATGTGAATTCTAGAATTTTTTTCGCTTAAAATTCACTCTTAATTCGCTCCTATACATGCAACAAAAAATTCTCAGTTCCGCTGATTTCTCCCGCCAGTTTTTTTTACGTCATTGATTGTGCCGGGTAATATTGGCTCTGAATTTCGAAAAAGCCAGAACTGAATTTAAAAAAAATGAAAATACAAAATGAAAATAATGACTACTCGAAATTGACTCAAAATGAGCTTCAAAAGATTTATTAAGAGAAAATTGATTCGGCTCGTTTTCACGGCCAGCTTCTCATACGTCCTAGAGTTCATCTCATGTTAAACCTTCCCGAGCAACACCCCCATCTGTCAATGCAGTAGATTCTGTGTATCTTTCCTCATTAATTAACTAACCACAAGGCAAAGAACCCGTAGAGGTACGCTCTCATGAATACTACTCATAATTTGAAACTTTTTTATGTGACGTTCGTCACAATTTCAGTAATTAAAATAAATACGCGTAAATACAATCTTCAACATTTCATTTTCTCTGTTTTGTTAGTTGACCTTTCAGTAAGCCTCGCTTCCACATAAGATTCACACTTTCTCCGTAATTCACACCACTGAAGAACCGAGGATCATCACTTTCCCCCGACAGTTGAATTAACCATTTTCTATATTTTTTTATGGAGTATAGTTAATTCAGAAATGTTCTTGAGTTAGTGTACGCGATTGCTCAACCCATTCGGTTTGGTCATTCCTGTTGGAAATTATGTGTCTTACAATTATTCGATTTGACCGTGGTCAATTGAACTTATAAATATCGGGAAAGTATAGGAAATAGGGCAGGAGTAACATGCATTTTCTATCCAAATAGGAACATATCGAATTACACATGATTTATGAGTCTAGTTTGCTCTGACAAGTCTCTCTGAAATTTCAATTTTCTTGATTCAGTTGTTCCAGAGGAGAAGCCCCTACTGATACTTGGACGCCCCCGACCATCGCCTGGCGATAAAATGATAGCTAATTGTACATCTGGAGCAGCATACCCAGCCCCAAACATCACATGGACCATCAATGGTAGTCCAGTAGGTATCAACCCAGCAGAAAAAAAAGTTGTATAATTTATCATAAAATTTAGTGTTTGCTTTTAATCAACTTCCATGTACTTGTCCTGTGCAATTGAGGTTTTATGCAACCATTGTCGCACTTGAAGGTACTTTCTATAACCGGGCTTCATCAAACCGTACCTTCATGCGCATATTACCGTCGCGCACTAAATTCCGGCAGGAGTTGTTATTAACTGACAAATCTGGTGTCAAATCAAATGCGAAAAGGCAATATCCATGAGGGTACTCTCCACGGTGGGCATCATCACCTTCGTTCAGAAAATGCCCGCCGGTGCCTGAGAAGATGGAGTGGCAGGCCTCCTCATATAATTGCTTCCCAGCAAACTCTGGCTGTACAGCAGTATTTGACGACCATCCACATATAAGGATATATGATTAAGAGTAAAATGTTGAATGTTAAAAGGGTTAAATCTTTTATCATCTACAAACGCACGATTTGTTGATCAACCCAAAGATGAGGCGGTTTGGCACGCGTGCTGGCCTATTCTAAAATTATCCAAGGAAATGGTCGCGAACACCTATTACTGCTGAGACACTTTTCACTTCCATCCTTGTAACAGGGTATCTGACGGCTGGCATGCATGAGCCAAGTCAATGTATTCATCACCATGTCCTGGTATATCGAACTGAATAGGCGAGTTTTCCACGAGTGATGCTATTGCTTTGCAGTGTATGTCGTAAAAGGATTCGATGGCCGTTTGCTGTGGACGTAGAGAAAATACGTCCAGTTCACTTTTCGCAGTCAACCACGATCGAGTATGCAAAAAAGGCAATGTTCTAATTTAAGCGATTTCTTCTTGTTACGGCCTCTAGCTTTCATAGGCTTCTTAGTATTTTTCCTTTTCCGTTTTTTCGTCACACGCGGTTTTTCCTTCCTGCTCTCCCAAGATGTTAACTTGCGGCGTTTAAACTGTCGCAGAAGACGACTAGTCGTACAATAAGAGCATGATAACATGTTTCCATCGTTATGTCCAGAAACAGTCATCAGTTCATAAGTTTCACCTCAGTTTTCCTCTTTAAATTGCCGCCTCACTCTCGGGCACGGCTCCGCAGAGAGTCTGTCAGAGAGATATCTGCTCAATAACATCACCTAGGACATTTACACCTAAACGCAGAACCTCTCTTCCGATAGCGGATGTTGTGGTATTATTCTTCTGAACAAACCACCAAAGAAAAGACGTATTCTATTACCTTTTTTGATTAGCACTACATATGTACTGTAACCTTTTATTATATTTCGACCGTTCGATGGTCATTTTGGCGTCCAGATGAAGAGTAACCGAGAACAGGAGTCGAATTGATAATATTTTTTATTATTTGATTGATTTTTTTTGTTTTGCAATAAATTGTTGCTTTGTATTGAGTCATCATCTAATGCTGATCGCTGGACAACTGCAATATCCGACCATGGAGCAGATGAAGATCTTGGAGAGGAGTATCAATTAACGGAATCGAGTTGAGGATTAATTGGTTTTGACCATTTAGAGATGGAACGATTGGATTCAAAGCAAGTAAAACCAGTGACGGCCCAATCATACGGGCCTAATTTTAAGCATTTTGTTAATAACGCGGGACCCTATGACTTAATAGGAATCGGTGTAGACAGATCATGGCGAGTTAATTATTTAATATCAATAATTACCGAAATAATAATTGTTGGGTTGTTAGCTGAAGCCTCTGGAAAATCGGATTGAATTTGCTTTGCTTTGCACAAGCCTTGTAGCGAAAACTAACGAATTGCCATAAAAGCTCCCGGAAATTCCCTAAGATATGATTGATGGCCAATCGATAAATTGAAGGAGATTCATTGTTAGGCAATCAAATGATTGATAACGACCTCATGAGTGACGCTTGAGATACCATCACTATCGTTGATTACTCATTGTACTTATTTGTTTGGATATCACTTGAGGCAGTAACATTTGTAAAACTGAACGATTCCAACGCATCGCGAAAATTTGGATTATGGAAAACCTTTCTGGCTGGTTTTGGGGACGAATTTTCTCAATATAGAAAGGTTCATCACAACTGCAATACTCGGCTGAATATCGGTAAGCGATTCGACACTTCCGAAAATTGTTGATGATTATCTGACAAATGTTTCTTAGAAACTTTGATTTTGTTAGGACGCTTGGCGTCCATTCTCATTTTGCCGAGTCCTCCAAAGGGAATTTTTTCCGTTGCCTGGGAAAGTGTCATTGTATTTATCTTAAGGTTTGTGACCTGGGCCGTGGAATTAAATATAATAATTCCCGGCACAGGCACGATAATTCGAGATTAATGATATTCGGGAAATTTAGAGTAATGGAAATCACGGGAAGACCTGAAACAATAAAAGGGAGGGGGATTTTCAATGCTTACTCGGGGTTAATATATAACTGAATTCGTATTTACTGATTTCCCAAACACAGAATAAAAGCAACAAAATAATATTATAAACGATATGATTCGGCCTTTTTGGATTAATATCTCGAGGGTGGGGGGTAAGGCCAGCCAACTTGGGCTACGCGAAAGATTAGACACTAAAGAGAAGGGATGACTCGAACTCTGAAACAAGAAGGGAGAGAAGCGAGGGGTCCGAATGAAATGATAATGATAATTAGGGGGCTTTATTTACAACAAAAAGACTTTCCTAGAGGTTCACCGTTGGGGGGAGGACCTTGCAGGGGTTTTGGTAATGCTTGTTGGGGCGGGAAAGGTAATAAAGGGTACTCACGGGGATGGCGGCATTCTCAATCCTTCACACAAATTATCCAACCGATAACTCCTCACGACGGCCGTTCCTCCCTTCGTCGCTCCTGGGTCTCGTGGAAATCCTCCACACACAGTTCCACTCTCCCTAACAAATCCTCCACAAATATCTCACGACAACGTCCCCAATAATCCAACAATATCTCCCCAAAACTCTTCGTAAATCTCTCACGGAAAACTCTTCAAAATCTCTCACAACTAAATTATTCCTTCCGCAGGGGCAGCTGTATAACGAGTGATGGCATTTCATCACTCGTTCTCTTTTTTCCCCGATTATCACCGATAATCGGGGTCAATCGGGGACACTCGTCATTGAGTGTTTTCGTCATAATTATGAATTCATGTCTCAGTGAGGGATGTCCTTTTTCTTCTTCCGGGTCACGTGGGCTGTGACGTAGGGATGGTGGGTTTCTGTTGTTCTCGGTGGCGTGCGTGGCGATGTGGGGAACGGCGGATGGGGGGATTTTCTTCCTTCTCTCAAAGGGTGCTGTTTCCGTGCGGGTTTTCGGAAGGGTGGGGGAAACGCGGGGCAAGAGGAAGGAATTTCTTGGGTGTGGGAGCCAACGGTGACAGGTTTTATAATCTAGTCGCGGTTCCCTCATCTAATTCTCTATTTTGTAAAGAAGAAATAGTTATTTATTAGAGGGCAGGGGAGGGGCTTTCAAAAAGTGCCGCGTCACAGGTTATATCAAGACACGCGATAGCGTATCTGCCGAGTTGACGTCACAGGCAGAGGTGACGTCACAGGCAGAGAGCTGTCGTGCATATATTACAGCTAACAACTCGCCCCTAACCCCTTAAAAAAACTTCCATTGCTGTTTTCCCCTTTAAACACACGCTATTTTGCAAAAGTATCCTTAGATACATTACATAAATCGCGTTTGATCTTTCTGATGAGATTTTTACTTTTTTCACTTACTACATTATTACAAAAATAACTCCATAGCAACGGATACGAATTCACTTTTTCAAGAGTTTTATTTCGTGAGCGTTACTATTCCCTAACGCTGTTTGGATGGGCTGTTCTAGGGATCTAGGGAATAAAACTAGTAAGTTAGAGGAAATTGTCTGCGCTTACGGAATTCATCCGCACGGGTCCGTAGCGGTGGCGCATGAACTAGGATGGAGCCCGTACTTGTAAGCCAATCAAAGAGCGTCAAGTCATTTCATATTTGTGACTGACCCTTTAACAATTGGAATCGATTGTTAATAATTTAACGATTTCAATATTATAACCAAATTAAAAATTTTAGTTCAGTTAAAATTAATTACCTAAATAACCTAAAAAATTAATTACGTAAATAACCTACTATTTGTGAATTACTCTTTAACAATTGGAATCGATTGTTAATAATTGAATAATTTGAATATAAGAACCAAATTAAAAATTTTAGTTCAGTTAAAATTAATTACCTAAATAACGTAATATTTGTGAATTACTCTAACAATTGGAATTGATTGTTAATAATTTAATGATTTGAATATAACAACCAAATTAAACATTTTAGT